TACATTAACAGTAGGGAATGGTTTGATTCTCCAAGTTAAGCAAGGTGTCATTGTGAAACAATGGGGAACTTGTGGTATATAGAGTATCAAAATGGTGGCCAAAGAATGACTCAAGATCACTATGTCGAAAATTAACCCCCATTTTGTTTGGTCATACAGTAAATGAGCAGAAAACCCATGCTAGCTAGTGGCAGTAAACAAACATGGCAAGAGGCATTCACACTGATGGCCAACTGCATAATCTTCTGCTTACATCCAATTTTCCACAAACCGGAATGAGTTGTTTTCTGAAAACTTGTGGGCTTGCGTTGGCATTTTGCAATTAGCCCTTTGTTGTGGTGCCAATACATTGGTAATAGATTAAAACAGCTGTGCAGTCCTGAATATCCCTAAGTTTTTGCTTGGTGCCAGATTCGTCAAGCATGTTCTAACCAAGACAGCAGCCCAGCTGTACCTAAAGCCTTATGCAACTAGTCCAGTGTGCTGCAAACTGACTGCGGGAAAACTGAAAGAGCTACCCAAAAAAACTGCTTGCAGCTGTCACTGAAACAAAATTTCAGGAAACTTGTTTCCATCTGTGCAGTCAGGTCAACATGAAACCAGGATCAGCACAGTAACTTTCAAAAACCAGAGTTGTTTACTCATCAGGCCTATCTGAATTAGTGCTAGCACAGGAACAATGGCAATGAAATGCACTGCAGTTTTTCAATCACTGGCCCTCAGATTAAAACAAGGTAATGCTCAGATTGGATCAAGTGGCAAGCATTGCAAGGTCTGTGGGGCAGAATGTATTCACCCATAGTAGAACATGCATTTTCCACTGTCGGTAACTTAACTGGATAGTCTGGTATTTAAATACCAGTAGATTTCCTCCTATTTAGTTAGTAAAATGCATCAGACTAAACTATTGGAAAAAAAATGGAGAGAAAAATAATGTTTCTGGGCTTCCTGGAGAATGGTTCATCGTCTGATGAACTAGAAGGAGAAGCACAAGACAGAGCAGTTTGCAGAAATGAGAATTGAGTCAGAACACAAATCTGACATACTACTGACAGCAATATCATATCATCAATAACAACAAGAAACTGACAATACACAGCAGGTCAGTCAATACTGTAAAGACAAGAGGCATATTCTGACAGCTGGGTATCCTTCAGGGTAAATCACACTTTGGCTTTGCTCTTCAATGATGCCATGCATTTCTAGTTACCTATTTATTTCGCCATGCATCACAAACACTGGGATGACGTGATAAGTAGACATACACAGTCTCCTGCTGTTCTCCATATCCTATCCTCAAGCTCTCTCAGCAGTTTGGTTGCCATATTGATCTCTGCCTCATTTTGGTAAGCAGACCAAATGTGTGTCTGAAAGATAGCAGTTCCATTGGTTTGCTGCACTCTGCCCCTTACTCTTCAACCCAAATACTAGGACCATGCAGTTAAGTCCAAAATCCTGCTGGATGTCACCAGACTACAAGAGGCTGATCTCATCCAGAATGGAACACAGGAGGTGCTATAATTAATGATAATGCCCAGGATGGGCATCATGGGAATAGTCAAGGTTAGCACTTTCTATTGCTGCTCAGTGAGCTGCAAATCGCATTGGAGATAGATTTGTTGTGCTGTTAGTCACAAAGAAGCAGCCCATCAGCATTCATTATCTGGATACATACACAGAATTGCTATAAAGACTACTGGTGCTTATGATTCTGCAATCCAGCCACAGTCAATTGTTTCTGAGGGGGATAAAATGGGTAACAAGTTTCCAAAAACATTGGAGACTTTAAAAGATTTTTAAAAAAGGCAAATTTCAGTGAGCTAACAACACAGCCTCCGTTTCAACTTCACCTGACGAAGGAGCAGCACTCCGAAAGCTTGTGCTGGTGTCGTGTGACTTCTGCCTTTGTCCACCCCGATCCAACACCGGCACATCCACTTCAGTTTCTATGGGGTGAAGGATTGCAACTTCATTTTACATCTGCCTGCATAATTATTACAGTCCTTCTGGATTTTAACCTAGCTATAGGTCTAGCAGTTTAAATCCGAGCATCCATAAGATGCTGTGGGCCATTCCCAGAAGAATTGTATTCAACCAAAAAGTGCAGCTTCGGTTTCTCCCTGAAATTATCATGACGGTCAAGCCAATGGCTCAACCTTGGTTCAATGTGGGGTGCAGGAGAGCATGTCAGAATAGACACCAGCACACTGAAAATGAGGCATCAATCAGATGAAGCTACAGAACAGGACTATATGGACGCTGTACAACAGAAGCAGCATGCTATGGATAGAGCAAAATGCTTCCACAGCCATCCGAACAATCCTTCTATATCAAGGCATATCGATAGTGGACAATTAACCAAGTAATTGGAGGTAAGAAATGAAAACGCGGTTCCAAGTAAGGGTTATACATGACTAGCAGGGGAACCTGCAGCCTATGCATGTATATCTTACACTTGATCTTCTGTTTGGAAGAGGCACTTTGTAAGGTACTGTTGAACAAGGCTTGCTGCAGTACACTTTGTACTTAGTACACACAGCTTTTACTCTGCACCAACAGTGGAGTGGACTTTAAGAGAGTGATGAGTGAGTGAATGATTCATGAATTTAGAAGGAGCATTAAAGGAAGAAACAGCCAAAACATTTTACGCACATTAGCCAAGAGTCCTTTTGACCACCACACATTGATTCCCACTGGATGGGATGTGTCAGCATCCCAAAATTAAATTGGGCCTATATTTAAATTTGTGCAGGAGGTATTATGTTGACAAGAAAGGAAAGGAATCAAGCAGGTAATTGGGTTTCATGCATCCAACAGACTGTGGTATATTGTAAAAAGCTGAAGTAGCTATGTGTTCAACAGAAGAGGCAAACTAACACTAGCTTCAGAATACTAACAACTTAATGTACCATGTACCCATAGAACATAGAACATAGAACATTACAGCGCAGTACAGGCCCTTCGGCCCTCGATGTTGCGCCGACCTGTGAAACCAATCTGAAGCCCATCTAACCTAAACTATTCCATTATCATCCATATGTTTATCCAATGACCATTTAAATGCCCTTAAAGTTGGCGAGTCTACTATTTTTGCAGGCAGGGCATTCCACGCCCTTACTACTCTCCGAGTAAAGAACCTACCTCTGACATCTGTCCTATATCTATCACCCCTCAATTTAAAGCTATGTCCCCTCGTGCAAGAAAACACTAAATCTTTATTGTGCTTCAACAGTTACAGCCCAAAGGCAGACATTCGCAGAAGCAATCCCACTCTTGACACACATATTCAAATTTATTCTTTGAGTAAGAATCATAGTCCTGTACAGGGGAGATACTGATAGGCAGAAAATTACTATTGGATGCTAGTAGACATCTGGCACATCAGCTATGCTGACCAATCAGATCTTAAAGGACTCAATGTGTTCAGGAGAGGGTGAAATTTCTCTATCGCTCAAGAAATCTCTCCAGAAACCAGTTTACAGCCAAGCATGCCACACTGAAATTCAGGCTGGGTTCCAAAACTTGTTTGTGTATTTTTGGAATAATTAGCACAAGTAATTTTGTCTTTAGAATCATTACTTCAAACTAAATCAGAAGTTTAAGACAGTGAACGACAACCACAACAATTATGAAGGAATCTGGTTTCTTCCAAGCTAAATAATACCAGAGCTCTTATCTGAGCTTAGTTACTAAACCGAGCAGTGTGTAAAGCAGTTGAAGCAAATCGCCTCCTATTCCCATGATAGCAAAAGCAGATTACCTACCTTGTGGAGTCTTCATTCTTTGGATTGGTCTCCTTCAAACATCGGCCATCCTTCACATACCAGGACTGCTTCCAGCCATCTCCCAAGCCCCAACAGGTTTATCCTCTGATTTAAGGACTTTGTAATGTTTATTTAGATCAGGTTCAGACTGAAATAAACTGTTCCAATCAGGCAGACACAATAATAATTTTGGCTTTTTAGATGCAGCTGGCTATGTTCCTAAAGGTTGTGCATGCAGCCAAGTGAATAAAAGATGCAGTTTCCCTGTTTATTTTGCCACTCAACCAACTTTTTGGAAAGAACATTATGCCTCTCACCCTGAGCGCCTTTCAGTCCCCTTTAATTCTGCACTTCTCTACCTCAAATTGTATTCCAGCATTAAGCACCAGGTTCATTTTGAAGCTTCATACAACAGATACAAATTCTGCAACAGGTACCAACTTTGTTTTCTACCATTTTGAAAAGTTAGAATTTTGAATAAATTGACCAAGAAACAATATTGCGTTACCTAGTTCAGTTTTTTTACAATTCAAACGGCACTACTGCTTGTCTGGCTGTCCTCCCATCAAATCCACAGGCAGTATGGGTAGTGAAACTTCTGAAGTGCTCTTACATGTTGCCGTTGTGCAGTCTAGGTTTTACTGCAACACAAGAATATAGTGATGACAACTACTCAACACACTCGGATGTTTATTGGCTTGTGGAGGTCTGTGTTGTCAAACCCTCACTGCCATTGTTTGGGGAAGGCAGAGTTGGCGCAGCTGATCTGCTGTTGGATTTCAAACAGTGGCATTTTGAGCGAGGTCGCTGCCAAGACATGGGAGGTACTCAACACATTACACAACGACAAACACTAGAGTCCTTCTTGAAGTCAGCTCTACAAGCATTTGGGCAAAGCTCCTGCAAAAACAATTAGCATCAACTAGACACCACGGAGATGGCTGAAAATCATCTTCCTTGCCAGGTCTCAACTTTCAAATGGCCAGTGTTCCAGGAAGGAGAGCAAAAAAAAAACACGCTGCACTGTGGAGCCAACGTCAAAATAAAAATTATTTTCACACCCATTCAGCTACAATAACAACAATCTAGAAACCGGGATGGGGGAGGGGAGAATGGTCAAGTGAAAGAGGGTACAGCTTGAGGAGGAATTAGGTCGAGTTAAACAAAACCGTTGTATCAGCACCTAGGAAGGAGGTATCTTTTAAACAATTTAGGAGCAAATTACTGCAGATGCTGGAAACTGTACTGAAAGCACAAAAGATGCTGGAAATCACAACAGGTCAGGCAGTATCCATAGAGACAGAGCAAGCCAATGTTTCGAGTGGCTTGCTCTCTCTACGGATGCTGCCTGACCTGCTGTGATTTCCAGCATATTCTGTGCTTTCAGTATCTTTTAAACAAGCTGTTTTTAGTTCAAAGATGCTCACGTAAGAGGTGGACAGCACATAACTCTTCCATTGCAAGCATCAATATTGATAGCACTGGAGTGGCAGCACTTACAAGTAAGTTTCCTTTTTATCACAAAGTTTTGAATATACCACCAAAGGCAAGCACACAGAATTGCCTAAACATAGCATCTCGGAAGACAAAATGGTTTGGAAATGTACTTCAACTCAAACTCAAGCCCTACTGATTTGTCGATAACCAGCAAGCCTGCTCGCTTTCACATGAAATGTTAAAAGCTGTGGTTTCAGCTCAGCTCTCTCCAAGCTGCTGACTTTGCACACTGCAATTCTGGTACTTTACCATAACCTGCAAGTCACCATTAATGAAAGTGGACAAAAAAAGTGATGAGTTTAATATGTCCTCTTCTAATTAAGGGAAGTGGGTGCATGAAGCAGAGAGACAATGGCTTCCTGTTTGCAACTTTTAAAGATATTTGGCATTATCAGGAGGGTGGGTGGAAACAGCACGCAAAGAACCACTTCGAAAATTTGCTGAAAATTGAGATTACAAAAGCAAAGAATTAATAACACAGCTAAATGAGAAAATTCTTATTTTTATAAAACAATGTACAATATCACTATTCATAGATCCAAATTACAACATGCATGTTGAAGAGTACATTGCTCAAGCAACTCAGACTCCCCAAATATACTGTAACATAACACTCATTTAATAATCTTAGCAAGATGCTTATGCGATTGATTTGTGCTCACTGATTCATAGTTAAGCAGTGCCTCAATTTTCAAAATATTCCATGGTCTCACCACGCCCCAGCTCTGTAACCTCCTCAAACCTTACAATCTTAAGAGAAATCAGAGCGTCCTCAATTCTCGACTCTAAAGCATCCTTAAACTTAACTGTCCCTCCATTAGTGGCAGAGCCATCAGCTGTCAAGGCCCAAAGTTTTGGAACCCTCTTCCTAAACTTTCTGTCTAGCTTTGTTCACTAAGACTGCCTTAAAACCTACCTCTTTGACGTTGAATATTTGGTTGCAAAAAGAAACGGAGTCTTGCTTTATATAGCACTTCAGAATCACTGGGCATCTCAAAGTGCTTTCCAGCCAATGGAGTTGTCCATTCAAGGCAGAGATGAGAAGGGATTTCTTCTCAAAAGGGTAATGAATCTGTCGAAATCTGTAGAGCTGGGTCATTAAGTATATTCCAGGCTGAGATAGATTTTTAATCAGGAAGGGAATCAAGGGATAGTGCGAAAGGCAGAAAGTGAATTTGAGGGTATCAGATCAACCATGAATGGTGGAGCAGACTCGATGGGCTAAATAACCCATTGCGACTGGGGATCTTAGACACTATGTTTGGAGCTTTAGTCTCCATTTCCAATATATTTGTCATACAGGGAACTCAATGGAGATTGGCTGGATTAAATCCTAGGACGGCAGAATTGTTTGAGCAAGAGATATTGAGGAGGCTGGGTCTGTATTCTCTAGAGTTTCAAAGAATGAGTGGTGGTCTCATTGAACAAATGAGATGCAAAATGAAAATAAAACAAATGGCATCAAGGGTTATGAAGGTAATGTGGGAAAATGCCTTGTCGTGGAAGGCTAGCTATGATCTAATTGAATTTTGGGTTGAATGGCCTATGTCAAGAATTGCATTAAAAGAAAGTATTCTTAAGGTCCAGATATCAATGACAAGGCCAGCAGTAGTTGTTTACTCCTAGTAGCCCTTGAGAAGGTGGCAGCAAGCCCTTTTACAAAGGGCAAAGCAGAAATTGCTGGAATAGCTCAGCAGGTTTGGCAACATCTGTGGAGAGAAATCGGAGTTAACATTTCGGGTCCCATAACACTTCCTCACAACGGTTTCTGATATACAGCATCCATAGTTCTTTTGTCTTTTACAAGGGGTCCTGCTCAATCAGCTGGTGTAGAACTTGGAGGATATGGGAGATGATTTTGTTTCCCATGCACCCTCTGTCTTTGTTCTTTCCCTGCTTGAGACTTTTCAATAAAGCAAATTTCATGTTGTAATATCTCTAAGGTTCTGCTACACAAACCACCTGGATTTAACAGCACAAGCCAAATTAAACCAGAAACCACCGTTGGAGATCCAAGGGCAACATACTGTGAAAATAAGTAGTTATGTATCAATAACCATGGAAAATTTGATATATATTTTACCATCAATCATGGAAAGTAATGATCCAGGTCAGGGCACGCCGAGTATTGTGTGGCAGTACAATACTTTAATTAAGTACTAATCCATTAAATAGCTGAACTACAATGAGGCCGTGGACTGGTCTGGCAGAGGAAGGGACACAGAGTGACTGGAGTATAAGTCTGAAGTCACGCAGCAAGGTCTGGATTTTGTAGAGGGATATAAAGATTTCTGACAACTGGTAGATGCCAAGTTTACCTGGATTTGGGCATGTCAGAACTAAGGCTTGCTTGCATAATAATATTGCCAGCCCTGGCTTCACTACCAGTGCTGTACAAACACGACCAAAATCAGGTCATGCAGTACAGGATATCTACCCTAATGTCACAGCATCTTCATTCCTGTTGCTGTGCGTCATACAAACAATTTTGGAGAGCTTGTTTGTTGTGTGAAAAAGGAAATTAATTGGAATTGCAGCACTAGCCCATATACCTCATCAAGACAGGAGCAAATTACTGCGTTTGCTGGAATCTGTACTGAAAACAACAAATGCTGGAGATCACAGCGGGTCAGGCAGCATCTACGGAGAAAGAGCAAGCTAACGTTTCGAATATAGGAGCTTTGCTGAAGTTGTCTAAACTTGAAACATCAGCTTGCTCTCTCTCCACGGATGTTATCTGACCCATTGCGATCTCCAGATCATCAAAAGGTCTTACAGAAGCTTCATGATTTAACTGTACCAGTGTCTTTAAAAATACCACATACACACTTGACTATATATTATCAACAAAGGCTTTTCAAACAAGCTCCAAATGGCAATTAGAGATTTTTAAAGACCAATCTATGGTAATCTTTAGTTATATAAATGCAGTGACTTTTGTATTTAGGTGGGCTACTATAATTGGAGATTCTTCACTGCAAACACAAATGGAGGAATCTGTTTCCTGTTTAGCATAACTCTGTATTGGTCCAAGGTAATGGAGCATTTGTGTATAGCATATTCTCCTGCAAACAGAACCGCACAAGCATCACATTACAGCAATAATTTCTTTCCTCGTTGAAAGCGCAGATGCAGTTTGATCTAAACCACTGCTGAGGTGGCACAATCAACCCGGACTGCACTGCAAGGTTGCTACAGTCAAATTACAATATTTAAAATCTTATTGGACTCAATTCCAATTGCATTTTAAAACACGTCCACTTCCAGCATTTTCAAAATGATGCAAGTTCACTTTCTGAGAAATGGCTGGAATGTTGAGATTTTGTTGACATTTATGCACATCTTCAGTAAGGATTCCAGCAGTGATCTTGGAGGTACTCCAATAAGTAAATCTTCCCTTGACATCATCCCTCCTTCAACTAGTACCTACCACTTCCTCTCTTTGAGCTAATTCTACATACACTGCTGAAGTTAAACCCTTACAATTGCGTCCAGTAGCAGTCTTTTCAATTGGAACTTTACCATCTGATTGTAGAGTTATCTGGCATCTTCCTGGGACTTCCAGGAAGGGAGTCAGGACAGTGGAGCATTACCTCTGCACAATATAGAAAGGAACAAAATGGTTGCCAGGGCGGGTAGGAAGGAAGACAACCAAGTGAAAAGATATAAGAGGTAGGGTTACTTCAGGCTCCACACTAGCAGTGAATAACATCTTGCAAGGTTTGCTTGTTGGTATTTTGAACTCTACAAGTACGTTGTTAAAGATAGGCTATTTTGAAGTTTTGATATATTTAGCTTGCAACTATTTTTTGCATTGCCGATCTGATAATTAATACTAGCAACTTTGATCAAAATCAATAACGGAGGAGCAGGGCTGCTGAATCGAATTCACCGTCCCATTAGCTTTTTTCAATTCAGACACACAGGAAACATTTTTGCAAAGGCTGTTTATAAAAAGCAGGATCCGTAAAGATCAGAAGTTGCTGAGTAGCCTGATGACACGGAAGTCTTGATTGTCATCAATATTTATTAGAAACTGGTTAAGATAATATCAAGGTGTTTGAAGGGGCTGGGTGGGGGGTAAGAAGCTTTACATATTCCAGGCCTGAATCCAGATCCTAAACATTGCATGTTGTTTTACGTTGGGTTAACAGATCAATTGGTTCCCACCCACTAGGACATACCTGGTTCATTTTGAAGAAGTCTAAGGTCGGCCTTGTCCATCGAACATCCTCATCATGCCTCCGTTTTACACCACACTTGCGTTCGTTTAAGTCGCAGGGCTGGGAGTGACTCCGCAACAGGCCTTGCTGCCGTCGGTTCATCTCTGGAGTAGAGGAAGGTGTACTTTTGGCTGAGAGCAGACATCTTGCTGCTTCTCGAATGTGCACTGGGGAGAGTGAGAAGCGCCTTTGAGGAATGAATGTGCACTGCTCAGGCAAAATGCACTGCACGCCCAGAAAAGTTCTGTCGCCAATATCTGTGGTATGGCTGTTTGGCGACAGCATCCATGGTAATGGGGATTCAGGGGATGTTGTGAGGCTGGAAAAAGTAAAACTGCTGGTGTTTGAGTAGTGGCCAGAGTTGGGCAGCTGCTGCAGACCAAGGCTGGTGGGGCGCTGAGTTAGGTTACTGAGCTGCGGACCTGCATTGCCACCACTGTTACAACGCCGCTTGACAGGAGTCCACACCTTGGAGCCCACTGGCTTCCACAGAGACCTGCAGCGTGACAGGTCTTCCGGCACAGAGAGTGAGCGACAGTGCCTTTTGGTTGGTGGATCTGGCAGCGAGGCAAAACTCTCAGAGAATTGCAAGTCACTTAAATTGCCCACCGACGTGCTCGTCACGTGACCCATCCACATAGTTGTTGCCGGTCCTGTACACAAGGATTTGCTCGGACTGGAGGAGTTGATGCTATTTAGGTTGTAGCTTGTGAGTGAAGGGAACCCCATATTCATTGGCAATTCAGCATGTGAAGTGTCAAATACATTCCACTTCCTTTCCTCTGCCAAAAAGAAAGGGGAAGAGAATCAGGAACACAATCGTAGCATAGAAGCATCAACAAAACATTTCAGCACAGACTTCTCATGAAGATATTGACACACTGGTTTGATAATTCCACGGGTACTGAATCAATAAGCAACAAACAAGTCAGATCACATCATAATCATAACGTCTGTATTTCTGAGTATCAAAGCATGGATCTTGGACCGTAACCAAGAACAGAAGCCCAGGCTACATTTTCCTTTTCTTAGCACTGAAACCAACTGCGGCTTCTTAACTTCTGTCTCAGCTCAAGATCAGTTCGCGCAGTGTGGATTGGGGGCAGAACTTGGGAGTCATCTTGTCTGTTTACTTACTAAGTATAACTTAGTGGACAATGGTTGAGGGGACATTTTTTTTTGCATATTTCACCATCAGCTTTATCCCTCCCCATACAGCACATTTTCTTGGGCAGCCCGACAAAAGGTTATAAATCAACTTTATGGAAATTAACATAGCACAAATAAATCATGCTAAAAAAATTACAGCAGGAAATGTAGCCATATTCTGCAACCTAATAGGAATATGAAAACACTTAGCAGAGAATGCTATCCAGGAGTAGCAACTGGTAATAAAAAAACAGTCCTGCCATTGAAATGATGCATTCATGCACAAGGGAATCATGGTGTGAAATTGGTCAGTATGCTGACTTTAATAATCAAGCAAATGGAGGGAATGATTATGGCAGCTAGGAGTGTATGTCGTTATTTAGGGAGTCGTTGCCATAGCTGGCTACTCAATGCCCATCAATTGCCACCAGAAGCAGCTGAAGACATAGTTCAGAAAAAAAAATTCAACGTTGAGTGACTTCAAGGGCCAAGTAGACTAGCAAATTTCCAATAAAGTCTTCACCAAGATCCAAAGGGTTTATTTAAAAAGAAGTGGAGGAAATCTAGAAAGTGAAAACAGCCATCACCTCATGTTATGAAGAAACCATTGGCTACAAGACCAGGAAACACCATGACTGGTTCGATGTGAATGACCACATCATCCAAGACCCTACCAGCAAGAAAAGGAAAGCTCTCTGTGCTTTACAAAACAATATCACCAGCAAGGCAAAGAGGAGAACTCTTCAAACAGCAAGGACAGAGGTACAAAGAAAAACTAGGGAAAACAAGAGCCAAGGGTGGACTGAGAAAAGTAAGGAGCTGCAACTCCTTGCTGTCAAGCATGACACCCAGGGTTTCTTCAGTGCCACCAAGGCAATAGACGGATTGAACAGAGATAGTAGGAACTGCAGATGCTGGAGAATCTGAGATAACAAGGTGTAGAGCTGGATGAACACAGCAGACCACGCAGCATCAGAGGAGCAGGAAGGCTGATGCTTTGGGTCTGGACCCTTCTTCAGAAAACGGGGCCGAAACGTCAGCTTTCCTGCTCCTCTGATGCTGCTTGGCCTGCTGTGGTCATCCAGCTCTACACCTTGTTATCTCAGAATAAGAATAGAACCCTTTTGAGAAACAGAGAAAACAGCAGTCTCCAATGGAGAGAACACCTCAAAGGCCTCCTAAACTGCATTATAATTGTCGACAAGAATGAGTTTCAGGAAATACATCAATACCCCATTAAAGGTGATGATCTTGGACTCCCCCACCTCGTGTGGCAGAGTTGAAGCCTTCATAAACCACATGAACAATGGAAAAGTCGCAGGAGTATTTGGGATTCCATTAAAGATTTTCAATCTTGGAGAAGCAGAGCATACCTGTCATCTCCAACTGTTCCTCAGGATCATAGAAGAAATCGCTGTTGATCTCAGGAATGCTGCCATTGCCATTGTCTTTGAGGAAGGAGACAAAGTGGACCGTGGGAATCTCCCAACTCTCTATCCCGGGGAATCCTCATTAGGTGCTTCATCCCTGTCCCTGAAGAAATCCATCCAGAAAGCCTGTGTCGCTTCCAACCAAACCATGGAACTATGGACATGGTTTTCATTGCTTGGCAACTCCAAGCGAAATGCCAGGAACACCACCATCATCGCCTTCATCGATGTATCCAAGCATACGGAAGTCCCTGTCAAAGGCTGGCTGTCTAGAGTTATTCATCAACATCCTCCGCCTCCTCCATGACAAGATGTCAGTGAAAAGTTCTCACTGATGGTAATATGACAGAATCCTTTGGAGGTCAAGGAGGGATATGTCATCAGCCCGACCCTTTCTCCATCTTCATCTCCACGATTCGTCATCTTGTCAAGAACAAGTGTCCCAGGGACGTAGCCATTGTTTGCAGGACAGACAAAAAACTTCTAACCTCACCCAGTTGAAATCCAAGAAGAAAACGAAATTTGACCTTGCTTATCGAACTTCAGCATGCGGATGACAATGTCATCAGTACTTTCTCAGAAGAGAATCTTCTAACCTCACTTAACGCTTTCGCAGAAGCATTCTGAAGAAGTAGTCTCTCAGCCTCAACCTCAAGAAGACTCAAATCCTTCACCTTCCCATCCCAAGTCAGGTTCCGGTCCAACCGTCCATTAAGATCAATGGAGAAATCCTCCCAAACCTGGAACATTTCCCCTATATGGAAAGCTATCTTTTATCAAAGGCTGTCATCGATGTAGAGACTCTGCATTGCATCCAATCACTTTTGGAAGCCTAAGGATCAGAGTCTTTAATGACTATGATATTGACACCAAGATCCTTGCATATAAGACAGTCATCCTTCTGCTTCTTCTAAATGGCTCTGAACCTTGGGAGTACAAACAGACACCACTTCAAGCCTTTGAGAAGTACCATCAATGCTGATGGATGCGAATTCTCCACATCAGCTGGGAGGACAGGAGTATTAACCTAATAGCACAACTTTTTTTTCTTTATTCATTCACAGGATGAGGGCATCGATGGCTAGGCAGCTTTTATTGTCCAATCCTAATTGCCTAGAGGGCAGTTAAAAGTCAACCACATTGCTGTGGGTCTGGAGTCACATGTAGACTAGACCAGCTAAGGATGGCAGTTTCCTCCCCTAAAGAACATTAGTGAATCAGATGGGTTTTTCCAACAACCAACAATGGATTCATGGTCATCATTAGAGTCTTAATTCCAGATATTTATTGAATTCAAATTTCACCATCTGCCGCAGCGGGATTCGAACCCTCGTCCCCAGAACGTTATCTGGGTCTCCGGAAAACAGAGGGAACGTTTCAAAGACTCCCTGAAGGCGTCCCTCAAGAAATGCAACATACATGTCAACACAAGGGAGGCCCTCGTTCAGAAGTCCTCTATGAAGGGGTACAATCCTTTGATAAGACGTGGTGGCAAGAGGAAATAGGAAAAGGAATTGGACAAAGGAATTGGACAAAGGAATGTCAGCGATCTCCAGGCCACAGACCACTTCCACCTCCCAGAAACTCCTGCCATTTGTGTGGTCAGATATGTGGCTCTAGGTTCAGGTTCATCAACCACACAAAGACCTACAGAACTCGCGACGAGTGACATGGAATTTCCGAGATGAACAATCATAATTGTTCACGTGTTTGCCAATGATGACTGATAGAGCTCGGGAATACTGCAAACTAATTATCAAGGGTGAGGCTGGAGATGGGTCAAGCATGACTAATGCAAGCCTGGGCAATTCAAATTATTTAAAAGAAAATAAATCCAGTCTCTGAGTAATCATGTATAAACTACTCCTTTAAAGTTTTGGAAGATTACAGCCAGCTATAGCTGTAGATCAGTCTAAAAATGTTTTGAATTTCTATATTTCGGGTTCTTTAGGAGCCTTGAGGGGGCTGCAACGACCCCTTATCTCTGAAACCAGTCTCTCTGTGGAGGTAGTGAATTAAAGCTAGCTGTTGCCCCAGGCTAAATTTCCTTGGGTTAAAGGCCAATGGCACCCTTTAACCCAAGTCTGTTTTGCTTCATTTGGAAGGGTTCCATGCTGACTGTTACAACGCAAGGCCAGGCTGAGGCCAGAATTGCAATGGCAGTTTGTAAAGTGAACTCATCAATGTCTGCAGGAGCCAAACCTGCTTTCATTATATGTTACTAATCACCCCAAAAAGTAAAAATACCAGTCATAAAGGTCCCCTGTATGGTACAGAGGATAGATCAATGACTGACTTAGTTGCTAGGTGGTGTAGAAGTCACCTTTGAATTTGTCTCACTCTTTCTCCTCCTGATCATACTACCATGTGCAACACAAATTGGCGAGCTAAATAAGTATCTAGGAGCTTCCTTAAGCATCTTCACTATTCCAGCAGCCTGTCTTGGAATCGTATGTGGAAGGGTGGGAAGGCAAGATAGCAAGATAGACAAAAGAGCTGCAACCATTTATGAACAATTCACAGTCTTGCAATTGAGTACAAGCCCATGCACAGAATTTAAAGATGAAAACAAAATCGCACATGTTGCAGAAGTAGGTTTACAATTTCTCAGCTGATTTCAACAACTGAAAAAAGCTGCTGCATATTTATGGCAAGAGGAAGACAAAATTAGATAATTATTTCAACACTTGCAGATACTGAAAAGAAACAAAATCTATAAACCACAGGTCATATGACACGATATCTACTTTCAACACTCCGTGATGTTATTTGTGTAGGAACCTCAGCAGATATTCTCAATGCCCACAAATATGAATCCTCCTACTTGACTTCAGGGGCATAATTTTACAGCACTGCTGTCTGAAAATAATTTTTACTCCAAACTATTCTTGACATCATTTACAGATGGAAAGAAGCTGTAATGCATCAAACTGTTTGCCCCCTCTAAGGCATTTAGCTTCAGTGCCTGAGCTAAGGATAAAATAAGCTAGAATTTACTCTCCTCGTGGCTATCCAGAGAACTTCATTGGAAACTGGATTTGGGTGGACAGCTGACAATGGGAAGGATTCAACCCATTGTTAAAAACTCATCAGCACTCCACATCTGAAGACTGGCAAGGTGAGGAAGTCACAGCAGGGTGCACTCTTCCTGTTGAACCATACCCAAATATGTTGTCAGTGGCTTCAAAAGAGGAGGAAATAAAATCAGAAGACTTTAATAAA